TTGCTTATATGTTGCACTAGCCACTCTATGCCCACCAGAGATAAACAACAGAAACCTTCAGCTTGTTTTATAAAGGGAAAATGAGTATTTTTTTCTCTGTTCTGGCAAAAATATTGCTAGAAAAGTCTTACAGAAATTCCTGTTTCAAAATCAAAATAAAACAAGTTTTGAATCAGAAAAACAAAAAACCATGAGAGACAACAAAGAATTTCACTTCAAAGGAAAAGTGCTAGGAAAAAGGAGTCCTCACAATTGTGTAGGGCCACAATTCTGTTCTATGGTGGAGAGGAGGCCACTTAAAGCCTTCCACAATTATTGTACACCAGAGTGCAATTCTGACATCTTTGACATTCACACTTTCTTGGTCCTTTAAAACCAGTCAGCAATATATTTATATATATAAAACACATACACATAAACATATATATATATATACACACAAAGACAGGTGAGAAGCATCCTCCTCAAAATGCATCATCTTAAACACAGTACTTACTTTCATAACGGCCCTTTTTAAATAACATTGTCATCAGAATATGGAATGACGTACTCTCTGAGAAAAAACCACGCAAGTTCTGGAAGAGCAAACAAGCCAAGTAAGTTTAAAGAAGGTCACTACAGTGACCGCATGCAGAGATTCGACAGTTACTGTACACAGCACTGAGAAGGTTCCCCTACTAGAAATGAACCCCATCTTTACAAGCTCAGTGTATAACTCGCCAGGTTCCCTGAACACCCATCTCGCGTAATTGCTAAAACACCGGTGACTCGGCATGCTGAAAAGCTCACTTTAAACAGAAATTTCAGAGCTTTCCACTATTTCTTTTAAAAGACAGATAATGCCAGTGAGTTCTGCTTCCATTCGCTTAAATGACATCTAGCAGCTCCAAAACTTAGTAGATACACAGCTTCCAAATCATCACCAACAGGAATTTTTGAACACACAACACTACTGATAGATAGAAGATTAGATGTTAGACATGATAAATATATATGTATGTATATCTGCATAATAGCACACAACACATATATATGGCATTTTACCAGTTGCAAATAAGTTCAGAAACAAGTCTTTTTTATAGTTTATTCAGGATAAAAATGGCAGGCTGCCAAATGTGTTTAATATTACACTCTCTACAAGGTTCAAAGCATGTTTTGAGTAGAGTAGTACAGTATATCTGTTGGTATAAATAATCCAAGGGACTACAGAAAACTGCCACAGAAAAACTCACAAGTTTTCACTTCTAGGAACGACCTAATGTAACACAATGCAGGTAAACATGCATCAGCTGTGTTCAGGTGATATTTATTCATTAGTTCATTGAAATGACATAACAGTTCAATAATAAAAGCATTCTTTCTACCTCCTTTTTTGAGGGTATTTTGATGAGGAACTGTTTCACTTAAGTTTTTTTTTCTTTCTTTTTTTTAAAGTCAAACCTGGTAATTACATCTTTAAGTTAATATTTTATAGATATCCTTGTTACTGCAGAGCTGCTTAAAGAATCTGAGCTGACAAATGTAGAATATCACTCAGTCTGAACAAATAACAATGAGATCTTCAAAATATATAGGGGCAGTTACCTGATCTTTGATAAGTTCTACTGCAGGTGTTTCAAGGTCCAGCTCATAACACAGTCTCATAAATAGGGGCCCAAATTTAAAATCACGTAGAGATGTAATTCCATTCTGCTCATGGTACCTATTGGAAAGATTCCATAAAGTTAACTGTATGATATATAAAATTTATCAAAGGAAGCCAGGTCTAAATAGGTAGTCAGATCTGCATGTGTAATGATAGATGCAGCTTCTCTGTAGTAAGTTAATGTTAGCTCAATCAAAACAATATTTTTGATTAAAAGAATAAATGGTAATATGTAATTTCTTCTATTTCCAGTCAGGTAAGCTGCAGCAGATATGCAGTAGAACAGCCTCTATCACCAGAATTCCCAGTCATTTCTTTCCAGTCACAGAGCACAGGAGGTAATGCTCATCTCTCCTCACTAAAATACCTTCACCATTTTCTCTCCTGCACTTTGCTCTACAGAAAAGTAGGGGGCTTTATTTTATAATCCCATTTTCACAGCTTCTGCATTACAACTGCATGAAAGACTTTAATTCAGAAAGCCTCCTACTCTGCCATTGCTGCACCCAGACCATCTTATAATTGTGCAATGTAACATCTTTGAGCTGAGATGTATCCATCTCTAGCACAGTCTCCTGTGGTCCTGCTCTCTCCCATAATCTGACTCTTCAAGCGAATAGCCTCTGAAGGTTTGAAAATTCACGGTAAGAAAGAAAGAAAACAGACCTATTTTAAAGGATTAACTATGCAGACAGCCAATGAATTAGGACAAATCCTCAGCTGCAGACATAACTCGAGACAATCTGATAAAAGCAAGACATAAAAGAAAACAAAACAATGTTACCTGGATTGATAAAAGTACCTGTAAATAACTTTTCTGGCTAGTTCCACATCAGAAGTAGTCTGACACAAATGCAGTAAAATTTTTAATTCATGTTTGAGAATCAGTCCATTTTTCTTTAGTTTTTCTTTAATACTTTTAAAATATGGATCTGAAAATAAAAGACATTACAGTAAAATATGAATCTGAAAATAAAAGACATTACAGTAGTAGCCTATAGACAATGCTATTTATCTGTATTTTAGGTACCAAGTATGCAACATGAAGAGTCAAAAGTGGAGAAAGACTTTTTTTTTTTTAAACCACAACTAAAAAGGCATAAAGTAGCATGTTTAGTTATTCCCCACAAAGTGGGAATTTCCAGACTAAAATTGCTTATACCACTTGGCAGTCGTATCTCAGTGCTGAATGTTGCTAAATGCAAGTAACAGCCCTCAGCACTGAGATGCACAACTGCCCTGTGACATCTCAGAGAAGAACACACAAGCACTTATACCTGCATGTTTTTTCATGACGTGTTCAAAGATGCACAGAAATTTAAAAAATATTTGGGATCCAAACCATATTTGTAAAGAATATACGAACAGACTTATTACTTTTTTTTTCCATTTCTAAAATCAATATTTATTATTAAACTTACTTCCTTTTCACCCATCAAATGAGTACAAAAACCATGCACAGAGAGGCAGGTGGTTAATTGTTGTTGTACAACAGGACTAAAATGTGACTCAAAAATTCTTTAATTAACTACATCCTTTCAGACAATTGTCAGAGTGAAAGGTTTTGTATCACTAAAACACCTACAGATAATTAAACAGCTGCAGAAAGTTTTTGCCTGTTTTCTCAGGGCAGATTCAAATTTCCTCAGAGGAGTTTGCATACACTTCAACTCACATGACAAAAATCTCTGTTAGGAAGAAGGTAAAGACCTTGCTTTTCCATCAGGCTAGAAAACCTTAACCTTTTTTCATACTGTGAACATAGACGTTATCTGAAATCAGATGTACAACTGAGAAGTTACATTAGGTGAAAGGAAAAAAAACTAAAAAGAATGAACTAGCTAAATTTACAGAGCAGATTGAGCAGTAAAAACCTTTTCTAGACAGCTAAGTAGCTGCTAGGTTTTGCATTAACTTTCTCTGATGAAGATGTATTTGAAGCAAGACTTACAGAAAACCAGTATTTTTCATTAGACCACCTAATGGATTTGTATGGACACAGGTACCTCAGCTGTAATATAAACAACTTCTATACTTTAAAAAGTCTTCATTTTGCAGTGGAGCGTAAGTATTGTTTCACTCTACAAAACCTCAGACACTCTGAATATTTTTGCTACAACAAACCTACAAGAGGAAGACATAGATTGCTTTAAATTAAGTCTATTCTGCATCATATTTTGATAGTTCTATCTGCTTGTTTCCCAGAACTCACACCAGTATTGAGTAATGATCATCAAATAATACCTTTGTTGCCCTGAACTTCATTTCTAATAGCCATTTTTGTTTGCTGAAATTCTTGTAGCTTGATATCATCTTCTGTTAGCAGATATCGCTTTCCTACCAGGAGAAACAAAAATAAATGTTACATTTTGTATCATACTGTGTACTTTAACAGCACCGAACTTTGCACCTATTGGTGTTACTTACTGGGCTAGACCTCTGGCAGCACTACATCTAAAACAATGGCAGGGATTACAGTTGCTCATATCACTGACAAAAGATACAAGCATTGCATTGTAACTTTTGTAGTATTTATACAAAAAAGCTGCATATCTTTTCCACATGTGCAGAACACAAATTGGAGATGATATAAGTCTCACACTTAGTCAAAATATGAGATGAGTCCACACAGAAATAAGATTTTTCTTTTCATCTCACAGGGATTTTTCTAATCTCTTCACTCACTAGAATTCACAGCTTCCTCTCCTCATGGCTGTTGCTCCCATTACCGCATTACTTTGAGAACTCCCAAGCTAATGAGGAAACTTGGGGGAAAAAAGGAAAGAATTATTTGGGTGGCTGAAGCTCTTAGGAAAGACTGCGAAGTCCTGGTGCTGTACAGCTGCCAGAATGGAGATAGACATGAAACCTATAATCTCAAAAATAACTTTGGATGCCAACAAAAGGCATCATGCAAACACCATGTGATAAAACCTTGCTGCCACACACAGCTCTTCAGTAGTAGAGGAGCTAGTAATTGCAATCAGTGATTTTGCAACAGAGAGTAACAAAGTTTACACTGCCAAAAGCAACACACATCTGGTAAAAGAATGATTCCAGTTGTGGATGGACAAGAACAAGGATCAATCCAAGTTAGGTCATTTAGTCTTCTGTACTTCTCTAGCTATAAGTAGCAGGCCACATAAATAACACTGCTTGTTTACTACCTCAGCCAGGCACACTAGCAATACACTCTTTATGATCAGGAAGGAAAATAATAATGCCCAGCATTAACAGCACCCATATTCATGAAATCTAACAGGAACAACTCCAGCTCAGCTCTGATGGCAAACAGACATATTCACTTATCTGGCATGAGGTTAACTGGGTTACCCGGCTGCCTACACCGCGCAGGCCTGGCCAGCAGGTCTAGCCCTGGACAACCACCCTGGTTCGGCCTCTCTCAAGCCAGCACTGGGGTCACGCTGATGTTTGGGATTGCACGCACCCATCTCAAACAGAGCAGAGCTTTCCCCTGCTGCGTTCAGGTCTGTGAACGCTACCATTTCCCCAGCTTTAAGGCAAAATAAGAGGAACTTTCTGCCCAAGGCCCCTTTCCTTCCGCGGTTCCTGCCGCTCTTGGGAAGAGGGGGCGCTTCGATCTGCAAAAGCGGCAGGTGAAATTGTGCGGAACGAAAACGCAGCCAAAAAAAAAGTATATATATATATCGAAGCCAGGAGCCGCACGGAGAACTGCAGTAATCACACATGACCGGAGCAGGCAGAGCCACGGCCGGGCCGCCCCTTCGCGGCAGGGGA